TGGGGGCATGTGCATGGGCCATGTTTACAGAGGGCTCGTGTGTATTTACAGAGTGGTAGAGGGGTTAGTTTATCCAATCTGATGCTGTTTTATGGGCAGACAATAGCAGCCACTTCTTCTTTCCTCTTGTTCCAAGCTGTGGAGGCCTCTTTCATGGGAAATAACACCATGGTTATTGTCCCCAGATACATAATTAATGCTAGATAATTGACTTCTTTCTGTTGTGTTCACTGAAACTGAATTTCACTCTGTAGTGCATTGTTCATCTCAATATGAAAAATAAATACTGTCAAGTTGTGTGGGATCATCTTGGGTGAATCATACATGTTAGACCTTTGGTATTTGAGACCCTTACAAATAAATAGCATCACAAAGGGCTTTTCAATGTACAGGCTTCTCAAAGGAAGTAGAGAGCAGGGAGCAACAGTGTCCCGGTCAGGGGCTGGAACCCCACGCTGAATGGGTGTGGGTGGTGGGGATGGGGATAGGGATGTGGGTGAGAGGGTTATCAACTCTGACTGTATCTGGATATCCTGGGAAGGTTTCATATTTAAAAATAATACAATAAATAAGCCAAAGAACAAAACCCTACTCTTGGGCACTTTAATGTGGGTCTAAGTGGTTGAAAGCATAAAGTCCTTGGAATTGCACTGGGGCTCAAGTTCCAGCTCCACCTCCTACTAACCAGATAACTTTGGCTGCCACTTAACCTGTCTAAGCCCCATTTTATCCCCTGTAACTGGCAGCAGTGACTGTTTTTTAGTGAGTGTTGGGGTCCAAGAAAGAAGGTCTCTCTAGGGCTCAGGGTGCTTTGCAGTGCACAACCCCTGGGCCATCCTGTAACAGCAACGAACCATCCCTCCAGCACTCCATTGTAGAAACACTTGCAAGCTCAGGTCCAAATATCTCCCCAGAGGCTTAAGGACTTATTGGTGGCAGTGAAGGGGGCAGGAGACTAGCTTTCTGGGGAACAGGAGATGGAGGCTGCTAGGTCCCTAGCCGATATTCATTTCTTCTTGGTCTCTGGCCTCCCATCTTTGCAGCTGGGGCGCTGATCCCCCATCAGCTCTGGGCCTGGTGGTAGTGCTCCTGGGACCTAGTCATGGTGGTCAGCATGTTGGCAGCTACCTGTACACTGCCAGGCTCATGCCCTTGGCCATCATGCATAGCCCTCATTTTCTGGAGAGATCGTGCTGTCCCAGGACTTTGATATAACTGTCTCTATGGATGGGCTCTTATGGGCTGTGCTGGAGGCTAGTCTGAGGGACACACAGAACCATGTCCAGAAGATCCCCTCCCACCCGCATCCTCTCTTGCATCTTTCCTCCCACTATTTCTCTTTACCACAGACCAAGCTGGGACACCTTGACGTATTCTTTCTGAGTTCCTGCCTGTGAGCGTGGGGATACTATTCAAGGATAGCTTCTGCTAAGCCCCATAACAAAGTTGGTTTGCTCTTACCCAGCATTTGCTGCGAGCTGGGTGCATTACACACAGCAACTCCTTTAGTCCTCATGACATGTGTGTGTATTATTATCTCTTATCTTGCAAATGAGGAGTCACAGGTTTGGTTCTCTGGGAAGCAGCTTTTGAGATGGAGTTCAGAGTTCAGGGTGGTTACTAGGGACTGACCTTGGGATCAACAGCTGTGCAAGGGAAAGGAAGGAGGCAGAAGCCAGCAGAGGGACAAGGTGAGCTGCAATGCAGGCTGGTTGATGACCTCGGCTGATGTCACAGGGAGTTTTGGAATCAGAATTGATGTTCATTGGCTAAAGTGGCCAGGGCCTTCATATCCCACTATGATCTGCCATTGGAGTGGGCAGCTCTAGGCAGGGTGTGACCTTAGGTGAGGTTGATCTGAGATAGTATCTGGAGGGCCTGATGGCTACAGGCTGTTGGCTAATGATACTCTCAGCAGCCAGAGGCAACAAGTCCTTCCTTAAAGAGGAATCTGAAGGGCACACACAATATCCGTAGGAAACTGAGGCTTGAGGAGGTATATTACTTGCCCAAGGACAGAGCTGATAAGGAACAGAGCTCAGATACATGTTCTCAGAAGGTGCTTGATCCTGAGTACTGGCCAATAGTCTATCCAGTCTATCTTTTCTATAGTATTCTTGAGGACATTACACAAATAAATCATTCACTTGCTTATTCAGGTAATTGTTTTTTTATTCATTAGCCTTCACAGAATTTTTCTACAAACATGCATTGAGTGTAGATCATACCTGTTTGGTGCTTGTGTGCTTAAGACTATGTTTGTGACCAAATCAGGCATGGTCCTTCCTTCATAGAACTCACTAATTTATTTCTTGACCTGATCAGGTCTAGATTCGTAACAAGTACACAACTCAGGTCTTTCATCTGGGACCTTTCACTGTGAGTGAATCAATTTCTCACATGGTTTCTGATCAACCTGGAGTCTGAGATGAGCCCGGGCTGGAGTAGCTGCAGCTAGTGGGCAGGAGGCCTCAGGGTTGCTGCCTCTGGTCTGCTGGTGAGGAGCCGTCCAGCTTTCCTGAGCCAGTGGGGCTGTTGCAGGCCAGCCTGTCTCCAAGTAGATAATGGTTTGCATGTGTACACCCCTGGTCTGTGGCTGGTTTTCTGTTCCTCAGGTGTTTTCCATGCCTGTGGTGAAATATGCAGACTGTAATTGTCAATGGGAAAATTGGATATTTGTCTGTTGTTTCTACCAAAAGGAAGGCCAGTCAAAGTTAGAATCAAATTCCCTCCCTTCTCTCTTCTCCCAAGAGAAATCCCATAGAAACACAGTGACCTCATGAAGACAGTGGGACAGTGATTCAATAGTTATTTTTAAGAAGAGAGGTTGGATTTAAATTCTCATACAGAGCTAGGAACCGGGATCCTGGAAGCCCTGAATGTTACTGCTGGAGGCTTCCTCAGAGCTCATCTGTGTCATCCCTTCATGATGAATGGAGGGCTTGAGGCTCAGATAAGGGAACAGAGCTCTTAAAATGCTTTTCTGCCCATTGTACAGGTCTGTGTTTCTTAAACTCATTCTCCTACCCAACCTCTAATAAATCCTAGAAGCTCTGTGTCTAGTCCCAGTAGGATTGTCATGTAGTATTGGTCTGTAATAGATATGAATTTCATTCATTTACTCACTCATTCGAATGAGATTTACTTTGGACTAAACTTACTTTGGGCCAAGCCCTGGATCGTATGGTAATAATTTTTGTAGATGTCATCTTTCTTTCTCTATGTTAAATGTCCTCAGGGCCAAATTTATTTCTTGTTCTCATTTGTGCTTTGCTGATTGGAATGCACATGGTAAGAGCTCAGTAAGTGGTTGTTGAATGAGTAAATGTTTAACAAATGTTTGATGAATTAATGACAAATGACTGAGGAGCTCTACGTGACTGTGAGACATTAAATTAAGCAGCTTGGATTTTGTTCCCTTTTCCAAGACACTCCTCCATCTCCCCAAAACTAGTCTCATACTTTTTGGTAGAAAAACTGCTGCTCAGAGGGGAAGGATAAGCTGGAGTTTTATCTCAACTTAAATACTCTTTCTGAGTGAAAGCCAAAATTTAATTGGTTGATGGAGTCAGAGAGCTGGAGAGACATTTCTTTTTCTTCTAAAGAAGAGTAATTCAGAAGTATTTTTAGTCTTGGTTTTAAGTTTACTGGAAGAAAACATCTCTGCAATCTCAGCATTAAGTCTTTTGCGGGAGAACACAGCGCAGAGGGCAACGTGGACTAGGAGCCAGGGGCCTGCCACCCTCCCTCTACCCACCTTCTCTCCCTTCCTTCCTCCCTTCCTGCCCTTCCTTCCTTCATGCCCTTTCTTCCTTCCTTTCTTTTCTTTCATTTTCTTTTCCTTTCCTTTCCTGTCTTCTCTTTCTCTCCTTCCAGTCCTGGCTCTATACTAATCTGCCAGACAATCCTTTTCCCTCTCTGAGCTTTAGTTTCTTCATCTGAGTTTCCCCAGGTACCCTTCCCATTCTAATATTCCAGGAATCTGTGAATGATTTTTAAATAGTCTGTTTCCTTTTCTGAACAAAAATATCCCACTTTAGCACCTCAGGATGGGAAAGCAATCCAGTTGACCAAAACAAGGTCTTCTCATTCCTTCCTAAAGAATGTGCAAAGAGGTCTAGTGCTTTCCTTGTAGCTGGGATGGAAATACCAAGACATACTAGCTTGGGATCCCTTTCTGGTATCTGAGGTGTACCCTGTTCAGATTTTATAGAGGTCCGTTGGTATTTCCAGAAGTGTTCTATGGAGGGGATAGGGCGCCCTACTTTGATGGGATATAATACAGATAAATCCATGAGTCCCAGCACTCCAATATGCTTCAGAGTTTAATGTCTTTATTTTCAATGTCATCTCCACTCCTCTGGCTACACTTAGCAACCTGCCATTTTCCCAACATGTGGTTCCATACCTCCACTCCTTTGTACATGCTGTTTCTTCTGTCTGAAACTCTATTGTCTTCCAACTACATCATCTGAAGTGAAATGGATTTGGGGAAGCAACCACCATGTGCAGTATGGAGCCACATTTCCCAGACACAGTCAGTGAATAACCCAGTGCTATGATGGTATATAGTTAAGGAATTAGCATGTAGAGTTGCCAGGTTTAGCAATAACACAGGATGCCCAGTTAAATGTGAATTTCAGATAAACCACAGATACTGAAGTGTAAGTATGTCCCAGGCAGTATTTGCTGGTCTGTGTCCCAATATGTAACACAAAGTTAAATGGATCAGGCAAAGGTTTGACAATGGGAGATCAAAGATTGTAGGGTCTCAATCTCTTAATGGGCTAGTGACTTAAAACCAAGATAAGTGTGAGTCCTGCATTACTTGTTTGAAGACAGTAGAATGTAATCTGGCTCAAAAAAGGAAAGGGGAAATGGGTGGGGTCTTCCCTCCACAACTGCCTTGGCTCTTTGTGGCCAGGATCTGGGAAAGTGATTACACCTCTAGTCTCAGGTTCCTCATTGACCACATGCTGATCTCTCTTTCCAGGGCCCCAATCGCTGTGGGCAAGCTTTGTTGCAGATTGGGATCCACATGATGGCCTTGCCTGGGGTTCGGCACCTGGACCCCATCCCCCTGCCGGGTCAGCGGTAAGTCCCATAGCTATCTCTTAGGCCACGCCTGCCCCATCTGCACTCTGGCTGAGGCCCAGCCCCAGGGTCCTGAGGCTGCAGATGGCCCCATCTCTCTATACACTGTCCTGGGGAGGAAACTTAGGACAAGGTAATGGGGCCACATTCACTCAGCAAGTATGGATGGAAAGGGGCCCTGGGATATGGAGGAATCAGGCAGGTCATGTCCCCAAAGGAACTGGAGCCTAAGACCCAGGCAGACAATGAAACAAAGGCATGAATGGGGTATGCTGCTAAGATAGGGACCCCAGAAGGGGCTCCTGATTCCTCCAGAGGCTGGAACCACTGGTGCCCTCAGATAAGTTATGTCCCTCTCTGAGCTTCTTGAAAGGGTCTGTCTACCCTGAGGGGTTAATGTCGGTGGGGTCATCAGTCTGCTCCCCAAAAGCCGCCATTATAAAGAGATTCAAAGGTGTTAAATACAGCAGCTCCTGCATGTGAGTGAGGGCTGGTTGTTTGGGATTTTCTGTGCAGCTTGACACTGAGAGTAAGGAAACATATGGGGCTCAAATATCTTTCTGTGCAGTATGTCTGAGGTAGAGCTAAGAGGTCATGAGGCGCAAATCTGCCAGGATACATTCTCAGAGACGGGAACTTGGCTTGGAAGGCTGGTGGCTATTCATGAGATGAGCTTCAAACACATGATTACCTCGTTTCAAGGCCAGGTTTACCTCTTACTAGCTGTTTGGCCTTTGGCAAGTTTCTGAACCCCATCAGCTCCTTGGTTCCCTCATGTATAAAACAGAGGTGATGACAGTATTTACATTATAGGGTTGATGCATGGATTAAATGAGTTTGTATGTACAAAGCGTCTGTTGCACAGTGAGAGCTGTGTGGGGAGATGTTGTTTATTGAGTGCCTGCTGTGTGTCAGAGGTCCTCTGTGCTTCTTCATATAGGTGATCTTAGGGGATTCTTCCAAATATCCCTCCTTTAACCCTCAGGCAGTGACCTCAAGTGGCCTCACTGAGAAAATAAGATATCAACAAACACTCCCAGCAGCTTAATATTTTAAACCAAGTGTAGCCATTCTAGATGAAGTGGAATCTCAGGGTTCCCTGCTCTGTCCCGACAAGGAGCAGGTGGTTTGTATGTAGCCCGATGGGAGGCAGTAGCTCTGACAATAGGCTGTGGGATGTCTTCACAGAACCCCATGGTCCCGGGCTGCTCAGAGCAGAGCCTGTGCTGTGGACTAGGGACCTGTCATCACAGGCAGTTTGAGACAGTGGTTAAAGGTCAGGACTGCCTCAACTTAGATTAGTTCTGCTACTTAATAGCTGTAACCTTGGGCTTCAGTTTCTTCATCTATGAAATGGGGGTATTTATTCTACGTCACTGGGTTGTTATGAGAATTTAACATAATATGTATAAAGCTTCTGCCTGTACATAGGACCTGATCAATCAATGTGAACTTCTTGCTCAGATGAAGAACAGGTGCCCAGAGTAGAAAATGTGGGGCTCAGGGAGATCATATCCTGGCACGTTCAGCCTCTGGGACTGCTGATCTCTCATTTTCTTCTACTTCCAACCTCCTCAGAAGTTTTAAGAGGTAATTAAATGACATGAAAACGATTCAGTAATTAGATTATTATTCTTTTGGGGGCAGGATAGGGTTTCTAACAGATATCAGACAGCAAACACCTTGGAAGGAAAACGCTGGATAAATGTGAAGTCAGGACTTCTGGCTGGCCGAAGACATCACAACCCGAGAAAATACTTGCTTCGAATGTTGTCAGCCTTACCATTCTGACAGGGCAGGGTAGGCTGCAGAGAGGAGGTGGGGTTTCCTTGAATAGATTCACAGCCTAGCACTTCCAGGCTACCCAGAACACTGGAAGAATACCATTCCAGGGCATACAGTCTATTCATTGTGTGTGTTCTGGGGGCATGTGCATGGGCCATGTTTACAGAGGGCTCGTGTGTATTTACAGAGTGGTAGAGGGGTTAGTTTATCCAATCTGATGCTGTTTTATGGGCAGACAATAGCAGCCACTTCTTCTTTCCTCTTGTTCCAAGCTGTGGAGGCCTCTTTCATGGGAAATAACACCATGGTTATTGTCCCCAGATACATAATTAATGCTAGATAATTGACTTCTTTCTGTTGTGTTCACTGAAACTGAATTTCACTCTGTAGTGCATTGTTCATCTCAATATGAAAAATAAATACTGTCAAGTTGTGTGGGATCATCTTGGGTGAATCATACATGTTAGACCTTTGGTATTTGAGACCCTTACAAATAAATAGCATCACAAAGGGCTTTTCAATGTACAGGCTTCTCAAAGGAAGTAGAGAGCAGGGAGCAACAGTGTCCCGGTCAGGGGCTGGAACCCCACGCTGAATGGGTGTGGGTGGTGGGGATGGGGATAGGGATGTGGGTGAGAGGGTTATCAACTCTGACTGTATCTGGATATCCTGGGAAGGTTTCATATTTAAAAATAATACAATAAATAAGCCAAAGAACAAAACCCTACTCTTGGGCACTTTAATGTGGGTCTAAGTGGTTGAAAGCATAAAGTCCTTGGAATTGCACTGGGGCTCAAGTTCCAGCTCCACCTCCTACTAACCAGATAACTTTGGCTGCCACTTAACCTGTCTAAGCCCCATTTTATCCCCTGTAACTGGCAGCAGTGACTGTTTTTTAGTGAGTGTTGGGGTCCAAGAAAGAAGGTCTCTCTAGGGCTCAGGGTGCTTTGCAGTGCACAACCCCTGGGCCATCCTGTAACAGCAACGAACCATCCCTCCAGCACTCCATTGTAGAAACACTTGCAAGCTCAGGTCCAAATATCTCCCCAGAGGCTTAAGGACTTATTGGTGGCAGTGAAGGGGGCAGGAGACTAGCTTTCTGGGGAACAGGAGATGGAGGCTGCTAGGTCCCTAGCCGATATTCATTTCTTCTTGGTCTCTGGCCTCCCATCTTTGCAGCTGGGGCGCTGATCCCCCATCAGCTCTGGGCCTGGTGGTAGTGCTCCTGGGACCTAGTCATGGTGGTCAGCATGTTGGCAGCTACCTGTACACTGCCAGGCTCATGCCCTTGGCCATCATGCATAGCCCTCATTTTCTGGAGAGATCGTGCTGTCCCAGGACTTTGATATAACTGTCTCTATGGATGGGCTCTTATGGGCTGTGCTGGAGGCTAGTCTGAGGGACACACAGAACCATGTCCAGAAGATCCCCTCCCACCCGCATCCTCTCTTGCATCTTTCCTCCCACTATTTCTCTTTACCACAGACCAAGCTGGGACACCTTGACGTATTCTTTCTGAGTTCCTGCCTGTGAGCGTGGGGATACTATTCAAGGATAGCTTCTGCTAAGCCCCATAACAAAGTTGGTTTGCTCTTACCCAGCATTTGCTGCGAGCTGGGTGCATTACACACAGCAACTCCTTTAGTCCTCATGACATGTGTGTGTATTATTATCTCTTATCTTGCAAATGAGGAGTCACAGGTTTGGTTCTCTGGGAAGCAGCTTTTGAGATGGAGTTCAGAGTTCAGGGTGGTTACTAGGGACTGACCTTGGGATCAACAGCTGTGCAAGGGAAAGGAAGGAGGCAGAAGCCAGCAGAGGGACAAGGTGAGCTGCAATGCAGGCTGGTTGATGACCTCGGCTGATGTCACAGGGAGTTTTGGAATCAGAATTGATGTTCATTGGCTAAAGTGGCCAGGGCCTTCATATCCCACTATGATCTGCCATTGGAGTGGGCAGCTCTAGGCAGGGTGTGACCTTAGGTGAGGTTGATCTGAGATAGTATCTGGAGGGCCTGATGGCTACAGGCTGTTGGCTAATGATACTCTCAGCAGCCAGAGGCAACAAGTCCTTCCTTAAAGAGGAATCTGAAGGGCACACACAATATCCGTAGGAAACTGAGGCTTGAGGAGGTATATTACTTGCCCAAGGACAGAGCTGATAAGGAACAGAGCTCAGATACATGTTCTCAGAAGGTGCTTGATCCTGAGTACTGGCCAATAGTCTATCCAGTCTATCTTTTCTATAGTATTCTTGAGGACATTACACAAATAAATCATTCACTTGCTTATTCAGGTAATTGTTTTTTTATTCATTAGCCTTCACAGAATTTTTCTACAAACATGCATTGAGTGTAGATCATACCTGTTTGGTGCTTGTGTGCTTAAGACTATGTTTGTGACCAAATCAGGCATGGTCCTTCCTTCATAGAACTCACTAATTTATTTCTTGACCTGATCAGGTCTAGATTCGTAACAAGTACACAACTCAGGTCTTTCATCTGGGACCTTTCACTGTGAGTGAATCAATTTCTCACATGGTTTCTGATCAACCTGGAGTCTGAGATGAGCCCGGGCTGGAGTAGCTGCAGCTAGTGGGCAGGAGGCCTCAGGGTTGCTGCCTCTGGTCTGCTGGTGAGGAGCCGTCCAGCTTTCCTGAGCCAGTGGGGCTGTTGCAGGCCAGCCTGTCTCCAAGTAGATAATGGTTTGCATGTGTACACCCCTGGTCTGTGGCTGGTTTTCTGTTCCTCAGGTGTTTTCCATGCCTGTGGTGAAATATGCAGACTGTAATTGTCAATGGGAAAATTGGATATTTGTCTGTTGTTTCTACCAAAAGGAAGGCCAGTCAAAGTTAGAATCAAATTCCCTCCCTTCTCTCTTCTCCCAAGAGAAATCCCATAGAAACACAGTGACCTCATGAAGACAGTGGGACAGTGATTCAATAGTTATTTTTAAGAAGAGAGGTTGGATTTAAATTCTCATACAGAGCTAGGAACCGGGATCCTGGAAGCCCTGAATGTTACTGCTGGAGGCTTCCTCAGAGCTCATCTGTGTCATCCCTTCATGATGAATGGAGGGCTTGAGGCTCAGATAAGGGAACAGAGCTCTTAAAATGCTTTTCTGCCCATTGTACAGGTCTGTGTTTCTTAAACTCATTCTCCTACCCAACCTCTAATAAATCCTAGAAGCTCTGTGTCTAGTCCCAGTAGGATTGTC